GTCGCCGTGGTGCGAGGGCGGCGGCAGGGAAGCCCCCCGGAGGGGTCGCCCGCCCGAGGGTGGCCAGCATGTGGGTCCCCGCCTCCCATCCTCTCCAGCGGGGGGGTTGTCTGGGGCTTGGCGTTTGCAGATGGGACAGAAAATAAGGGCACTTGGTCGTTTTCATCGCGTCTCTGCAGTGTGGCCAGCACGCCGCCCCGAGGCCGCCGCCCGCCGCCCCGCCCGGGCGCTGTGCCCCTTGGTCTCTCAGGACTTAGCCCTCGGGTAAGAGTCGTGGTCATTTGCTTTGAACATGAAATGTTTTGGTCTTTCTGGAATTCACCGTGGCACGAGCAGGGACCAGCCCTCTCGTTTCCTCGCCGCCCCCGTGTGGCCGCCTCTGCGCGCGGTTGCCCCCGCCCCAGCGACAGGCTGCACCCGCACCGCCTCCTCGCTTCCGCCAGGCACTTCGTCCACTTCCCGCACGCAGGCAGTGGGCCGGCGCTGGTCTGCGCAGGGCAAGCCCTGGCCCCGGACTCAGTGCCCAGCGGCGGACAGGCCCGCCGGAGGGGTCACCAGTGTGCCGGCAGAGCCTGCGTCCCGTCGCGCGCCTGTCAGGCCACAGGCCGGCTCTCCAGGCCGCGGGCAGACGGGCCCAGCCGACTCCGGCTGCTTCTCTCTAAACAAACTCGAGTTGGGCCAGGGCCACGCCCGGCTCTCGGCGGCGCTGGGGCAGAGCTCCCAGCGGAGACGCTGCTGCCGTCTGCTCGTCTGCAGGGCAGGGCGGGCCGCGCTGGGACAGACTGAAAGCAAAGCAGGACGGAGCGCACAGAGAGAGGGCTCCCGGGAGAGGAAGCCGCAGGATGGGAGTGAGCACATCTGTCAAAGAAGAGGACTCCGGGGCCGAGGGAGACGAGGGGTCGCGGAGGCTTGGGCGGGGGAGCTGTTAGGGCTGTTTCGGTTACAAGTGAAAGAGACCCACAGCGGTTCAGACCAAAGGAAACTTGTTGGCTGACCGTCTGCAGAAGGACTCACCCCGAGAGGCTCTGGAGGGCCCGGCGCTGAGGACTCATGGCCTCGGCGACCCGCTCCCACCTCTGCTCTCTCCACCTCCTCCGCCCCCTCCCTGCATGTGACCCCCGCAGGACAGAGGCGTCCGGCACCCGCGGGTTGTGTCCGAACACCGCAGGGCGGGGGGCAGCCCGGGTGGTGGTGACGTGAGGCCTCAGCGACTCTGGTATGTTCTGACGTCCCGAATCTTGCTGCTCTTATTTTCAAACACTCACTTGGCGCTTTTTATTGGGTCACGTTAAATCAATGGACCAAATCAAGGAGAGTGGCTCCCCCTAGGATTTGAATATTCCTAGCTGAGAACACAGTAACCTTTGCAGTTCAAATCTTTTCTTTTTTAAGTTTTATTTTTATTTACTTATGCATACAAGAGCTGGGGTACAGGCCAGAGGCACGGGGGGCAGGTGAGAGGACTCCCAGAGACAGAGTGGGGAACGGAACAGGCAGACTGACGAAATCCACTGCTGAGGGGAGCAGCGGGCGAGTCAGGAGAGTCTGCTGCGCCCTGTGGGCAGCTCCCTGGCGGGGGATGGAACTCGTGCTGCAGAGGCTGCGCACAGCTTCACAGTGCAGTGCTTAACCCTTGCGCTTTATTTTTTTCACTCAGGAACATTCCCCGGTCACACCTGCTAATAAGGGGTGCTGGTCTGTACCCCTGCTCTGTCTCTGTGTGTTCTAGTGGCTTTGTGCCTGGATGGGGAGACACCTCATGGCTGCTAGGTGAGTAATTTTTCACTTGAAATTTTTTTTTGTAGATTATTTATTTATTTATACAAGCACTGGGCACAGTCAGAGCGCGGAGGGTGAGAGAATCCACGGAGCCAGAGCGGTGAGCAGAACAGGCAGAAGGACCGAAGGACACTGCTGAGGGAGCAGCGGGCGGCAGGAGAGGTCTGCGCACCATGTGGGCCCCTCCCGGTGGCCGGGGAGCAGCCGGGGATCCCCGGCGCTGCAGGCCCGCGGGCAGCTTTCAACCCAGCGCCCAACCGCTGCGCCGCGCCACCGGGGGAGGGCCTCACTTGAAATTTTTTTCCATTTTCCCGGCAGGTGGATACCGCCCGTAAGGTAAGTTCTGCCTTGTCTTCGTGGTCCCCGGTGTCGTTGAGTAACTTGCGGGCCGTGTGGTGTGAAAGCCGGTTGTCGAGGACAGGGTGGAGGGTCCAGCGACTCTGAGGGTGAACTTGACGACGTCTGCACACCTGTTGGTGCTGCTTCGACAAGAGAAATGGGGGCTTGTGCTATTCTTGGCTTTTCTGTTTAAAGACGTCGCCCTTTAGTCCTTTTTATGCAATTTACTGCGTTTCCCCCAGTGTCTTTCCAGAAGATCGTTTGTTTCCCTCCCGATGCAGCGAGTCCACCAGCAGAGCCCCTTCTTGCTTTCCGGCTTAGGTCCTGATTGGTCACGGAGCCTCTTTCACTGGATCGCTGGATTCGTCTGAACAGCGTTTAACATGTTTATGGTGCTAGTCACGCG